CAGACATATATATATATATATATATATATATATATAAAGAACAGTAAGATATATAATCCGGTGTTCTTATAGATATTTTTATTTTTACAAAATAGTGCTCAATGTAAATTTACAGAGCATTAATATTATAAATTAATTGATTTAAAATATGTTTTTTCGCTACACAGTTCTAACCATGTTTCAAAAATGGAAGCTGAAAGCTTCGAATTTAATTTTGTAATTAAATTAAAGACATTAGTTCCATTTCATCCTCAAGAAAAATTCGCTTGAGAATGAAATGGAACTAATGTCTTTAATTTAATTACAAAATTAAATTCGGTGCTTTCAGCTTCTATTTTTGAAATATGGTTAGAACTGTGTAGCGTAAAAGACCATATTTTAAATTAATTAATTTATAAGATATATATATATATATATGTATATGTGTCTGTGTGTCTGTGTGTGTTTGTGTGTGGAGGGTGTACGAACGAGGTGATACTAAAAATTTCACAGCCCAACCAAGAATTATTATCCGGTTCCATGAAACGTTCACACTGTCTAGCTTATTCATCTCGGATTTCAGTAAATTGTCACATCGTTTTTCAAGTTTACTTACCTCTTAAAAAAAAATGTTGATGAAATTCGAATACTGAGTTTGGAAAATCTGCGGTGCAGATAACCTTTCGCCATCCCCATGTCTCTGTCCGTGAAAATATTTTATCTATAGAAATTTTACAAAGCTTCGTCTGTTATAGAACACTCAACACTTGATGAGATTAAAGGTGAATGCCTGTTTCAGTAAGTAGATATATATTATGATTATCTTAGCAGAACAATAGGAAATGGACTGCGAATGTATATTTCGCAATATGGAATGAAAGAGAGTGAGAAAGAAAGAAGGAAAAAAAAGATAGAATGAAAACAGAAAGAAGGAAGAAAAAGAGAATGAGTAGAATAAGAGAAAGAAGGAAAGAAAATGGCAATATTCGGCTTTTCCTTATAAGGAAACATTTGGCATTCGTTGATCGAGCAGCCAGTAATGCTTCGGTTGAAATCTGTAAAACCATGCCCTTAAAATATTTGTTTTTATAATAAAGGAAATGAAAGAGGAAAAAGAGCTCTATCCCATAAAGTAGGAGTTCGTAGCAAAAAAAAAAAAAAATCTATCTGATTGAAACATTCTGCTCAAATCTGAAACTTGGAGAAAATATGGTAATGTTAATATTAAGCGTTTCTTTATAAGGAAATATTTACTATTCATTGATCACGCAACCAATAGTATTTTCGGTTGAAATTTATAAAATCTTCCGCTTAAAAATTTTTCAGGAAAAATGGTTTTCAAGTCCAGTAGCTGTTATCGCTCTTTCTGGTATTGATAGTGGGTTTCTTCTTAATTTGAACTAGTGTGGAATCTTAACATCTTGATGATGTTATTATTTTCTCTTCGAGTTATATCTACTATCTATTTCAGTTGCTGCTGCTGATGGTAGTCCCTAAGTGATGTGGTTTCCGTTATTTGGTAGAGTTCTTTGCTTCTGATTCGGTATCATCAATCCACAATGTTCAAAGAAATATTATATTCGCCAAGATGCTCAGGCGTCATTCGTTCAGAGGCTTTTTTTTTTTAATAGAAAAACGAAAAAATATAGAAAGAGATTAGGAAAAGTTAGTAAGAATGAAAATAAGAATATTTACATTGAGAAGAAAGAAAGAAACATAAAGAATGTATGAGAAGTAGGAAAAGTAGATGAGGATAAGGGAAAGAAGAAAAGACAATATGAAAACGAAAAATAGGATAAATAAAAACAATAAAAAGAAAAAACACAAAAAATGTAGAGGAACTGAGAAAGAATGAAAACGTATAGGAAAATAAAGAAATAAGAGAAAAAAAGAATGAACGTGAAAAACAAAGAAAAGAAGAAAAAAGAAAAGGAAGAAAGAAGTAAAGAACCGATCATAGAGGCTGTGAGAAAGAAAGAAAGAAAGAAAGAAAGAAAGAAAGACAGACATAGAGAAAGAAAGAAAAACAAACAAGCAAGTAAAGAAACGGCCATACAGGAAGAAGAAAGAAAGAAAGAAAGAAAGAAAGAAAGAAAGAAAGAAAGAAAGAAAGAAAGACAGACAGGCATAGAGAAAGAAAGAAAAACAAACAAGCAAGTAAAGAAATGGCCATACAGAAAGAAAGAAAGAAAGAAAGAAAGAAAGAAAGAAAGAAAGAAAGAAAAACAAGTAACTAAAGAAACGCCCATACAGGATGTAAGAAAGAAAGAAAGAAAGAAAGAGAGAGAGAGAGAGAGAAAGAAAGAAAGAAAGAAAGAAAGAAAGAAAGAAAGAAACGATTATACAGGATGACAGATAAAGAAAAAAAGAGAAAAAGAAAGAAAGAAAGAAGTAAAGAAACGATTATACACGATGTCAGATAAAGAAAGAAAGAAAGAAAGAAAGAAAGAAGTAAAGAAACGATTATACACGATGTCAGATAAAGAAAAAAGAAAGAAAGAAAGAAAGAAAGAAAGAAAGAAAGAAAGAAAGAAAGAAACGATTATACAGGATGACAGATAAAGAAAGAAAGAGAAAAAGAAAGAAAGAAAGAAAGAAAGAAAGAAGTAAAGAAACGATTATTCACGATGTCAGATAAAGAAAGAAAGAAAGAGAGAAAATAGAAAAAAAGAAAGAAACGAGTATGTGAATGAAAGAAACTCGAAGAAAAAAGAAAGAAAAAACGGTCAAAAAGGAAGAAAAAGCGAAAGAGAAAGAAAGGACTTATATGAATAATTAAAAAGTTTAAGAAAGAAAAAAATGTCATTGGTCCGTTCCTGGTGTCACGTCTACAGTCACTTTCTCACCGGCGTTATACAACTTCCCTGTACCTTTTTTATTTAATACTTTCGTGGTAACTGCTCGGATGAACTCTTTGCTATGGTACCTAGACTTTATGAATTTGAGCGCAGCACTAGATTGGCGGAAAGGTCTCAACAATTCACAGTCGAATTGGTTCGATGTAACCATATGTTCTATGCTAACAGTTTCTTTTCTCGCACTTGGAATTATCTCCCGTCTCCCTGCTTTCCAGACAATTTTGATCTTAAACAATTTAAATGCAATGTCAGTAATTATCTACTGTCTTCTTGATTGCTCTCCTATTCATCTCGTTTGTTAATAATCTATCTCTTATTTTTATTCTTTCATACGCAGTAACCCCTTGTGTCTCGAGGATTTACTGCCTTGCTTGGCGTGAATTCGAATAAACAAGCATAAGAAAAAAAGATTATGCATGTTGAGAATAAAACAAGAAAAGCTAACTACCTAATTAAAAATAACAGACTGGGAAAGGATGGTGAGAATTTTGAATATTTAATTAAAAAAAATATTGTGAAAAAGAGGCGAATCAATAAAAAGGCATCTATATGAGAGAAATTCAATCAATGGAACAGCTACCATTACAGATTAATCGCCATTCATTTTCACTTGATGCTCTTCAATTTGGGCCTTATGCCAGTCAATGTTACTAAATATCTTCATATTCGTAAGGAGATGTTCATTGAAGCATTTTACGTTCTACATGAATATTTATAAGATGTCACTTTAAGGTTTTATGGAAGACGCGAAAGTGACTTTAACAAATCCACCCCTACTCTTATTTAACTCTCTCTCTCTCTTTCTCTCTCTCTCCAGTAAAATTCCACTTTGATGTCTTAGATATATCCTTCAGCAAACCGGATGGCCTTACATCGAATCAAAAAGAGAAAGCTCGTACGTGTGTTTACGCCAAGCAACCGACCGACAACGGAAACGTGTGAAACAAAGTTTGCTGCAAGGGAAAATAGTCCAAGATGGTGGTTGAGTGAAGAATTAACACTGGTGAATAGGCACAGAGGACATCTCTCTTGCTCTACCATTATCAATCTGTGCCGAGCCTGTATAGTAAAGAATTTATCAGTGGCTTTGCATCATCCGACGCAGATGGCAGATACATACGAAAGGTTTCAAAATGGCGGAAAGTTTCAGAAAGCAGACGATAACTCCTGGAAATGATGGATAGAGTTACTTTTGTTTAGTTTAACCAGCGTCTCGGAAATACCTCTCTTTTCTTCTTGCAAGTTGCGGTAAAGTTTTCTTAAAGAAGAATTTTGCCATCTAAGGTGTGCAGTATTTAATATTTGCGATTAAAATGGGCATATTAGAAAAACCGGTAAGCATAACGTTTCATATTACCGTAAATTGGTAATATCAAAATGCAAATGAATTAACAAAAATAAAGACAAAAACAGTTCAACTTGATTATCTTGATCATTAGAGCTCACTTGAGGATGAGAATTGTGCCTTCCGTCCTGGGTATGACGATAAACTACTTCCGCGTCCTGGGTAAGACAATAAACTACGTCCAACAGCGAGGCCTCTGATCAGGAGGTTTTGAGGAGCGTGGAACAACCTCTAAATTCTGGTGTTCCCAGTTCACCCTGACCCGGGGTGGTAGCACCTGTTAGGGTCCTGGCTATGGGTAAATAGTCACCCCCCCCACATACCAAACTGAGGTCAAAACACTATGAAAGTGTAAAAAAAGTTTTTAATACCAGAAATACTTTGTAAAAAAAATATGAGCAGCAATACATTTTTGGGAAAAAAAAAATTACCAGCAATAAAAAATGTCGGCATTAAATTGCCCCAAAACAAACCAAACAAACAAAAGAATTGTGCCTTGCGAATAAAATCAAAACCACAAGACAATAGATGTTATAAACTTAATATACATATTAAACATCAAAGGAAAATTATACTTAAACCTAACAGCCCCTACATTTAATTACAAAGACTGATAGCGCCTAATATTGATGATAACTAGTTCAAATTGTTCTAGGTAAAACGCGCAATGCTACGTCAACGGAGTTGAATCATCCTAATTTCCCTCGTATTCAACATCAAAGAATAATGTTACACTTAATTTTTTTTCTAAGTACCGCAATTTTATGGAACATACATCCGCAATGGTATTTCCCAGAATACTTGCTTAGGGTAAAAATCACGCTGAAAACTATGGTTCTCGTTCGATCCCTGAAGTTAAACAACGTAGAACCTGTCCAGTACTTAGATGGGGACCTCTTGGGAACACCGGATACTGTTTCGCCTGTAAATAACTCACAAAGGGTTTATAAGTCGTAAAAATCCATATCAACTATTCAAAATCCCTGAACACTTTAAGCTTGATCTCTTCATATCATGTATTAATCGTTATATATTTAAAAAATAATTTCACCCCCAAGAAAAGGCAATAAAGCCACTAAGACGCGGGGGGGGGCTGAGTGTAAGAGAATATGAGGACAAACACTATTAAGTAAGAGAACAAGGAATTAAAAGGACAGAACATTACGATTGACATTGCATTTAAACTTTTGAAGGTCTGCTTTGACTGGGAAGCGGGAGCCCGGAAGAGACTCTCGTAGAGAAAATGTGTGAATTAAGAAACTGTTAGAATAAAAATTAATTTCATTTCTAGTTATTTCAGTTAATGAGAACTTGTCACCAATGTTGAACCGTGCTTAAATTCATAGAGTCTACGTACCTGTTATATAGGAATAAAGTGACGTTCAGTTTGAACATAGATCGCCATTGAGCAAACACAGGCGATCCCATTATTGAATTAAGTAGATCACGTGACCATAGTGGAAACGCATAAGTAGGAAGTCGTGTGACGTCTAACTGATCCCCATTTCTAGTCTATCCTCTATTACTATTCCGATCGCTATTTCTATTCTGTCCTCTATTACTATACGAATCACCATTTCTGCTCTATACTATTTCACTATACTGACCGCTATTCTCTACTTTATTCACTATACTATTTCTCTATTCAGATTACTATTCGAAGGCTACTATTCGAGCGAGTATTATCAAGCATGTACTATTAGTGTGAGTGTTATTCGAAGGTGTCTGACTCAAGCAAGCCTTGTTCAACGGCGTTACTATAGTTGTATCTGCGATTACAAAGTCTCTACTACAACGGGCATTACGAAAGTGACAACGATTATTCGTTGGCATCGCAAAAGAGGTAAGTTCATTAGAACAATTAGCATCAATGTGTTTATAGAAAAGGCACAGGGAAGCAATGTTACAGCGGTGGTGAAGTAACTGAAGCCGAGATGCCAGTTCAGGACACATAACATTGCAGGCTTTTCTTTGGATTTTGTCAAGAATCTCTAGCCTTCTAACCATCATTTCCATTTTCCACCAATTTATCTTCTATTTATATCACCCTTATTGTGGCTCTTGAGCCTTTATTGGTGGACATTTTTTTTCTCTCTAAGCGAATTTGGAGATCGAATAGGAATCGATTCGAGACGATCGTAGTTTTAGAGGAAAATCGTGCAAATAGAAAACAGATCGATGGAAATATTTTGTAAAGGTGAATTTGTCTTCTGAATAATCACGTTCAGTGTTTGATGCCTGCGAAGGTTCGGGGTTACTTGAAGAACAAGCAAACTTTTGTGTTTGTTTTTTAATTGAATCATATCGAGACTGAAATAGTTCTAAGTAGAGAAGTCCATTTGAAAGATAAGGTGTACCAAATATAGAAGACAGTTATTGACTTCAAACATCGACACCAGCTGCCATTCCCTATTAGGAGGAATTATGAATAGGGGGAGAAGTGTTACGGATAGTGTAAGGTGGGGCAAGAAGGGGTTGATGGGAGATTAAAAAAAGAGGGTAGATTGTCGAAGAGAAGTAAAGGCAGAAAGAAAGAACATTAAAGAAGAAGAATTTTGACGAAGACAAGAAGAAATGAATAAAGAAAAAAAGGGGTCTACAAAAAAGAAAATGTACAAGAGGGTATTATTTAGATGATGTCAAAAGATGAATGGTAATGAATAAACACGAAGCAGACACGCATAGATAGATAGATAGATAGATAGATAGATAGATAGATAGATAGATAGATAGATAGATAGATAGATAGATAGATAGATAGATCAGGAAGCGAATGAGATAGATAGATAGATAGATAGATAGATAGATAGATAGATAGATAGATAGATAGATAGATAGATCAGGAAGCGAATGAGATAGATAGATAGATAGATAGATAGATAGATAGATAGATAGATAGATAGATAGATAGATAGATCAGGAAGCGAATGAGATAGATAGATAGATAGATAGATAGATAGATAGATAGATAGATAGATAGCGAATGAGATAGATAGATAGATAGATAGATAGATAGATAGATAGATAGATAGATAGATCAGGAAGCGAATGAGATAGATAGATAGATAGATAGATAGATAGATAGATAGATAGATCAGGAAGCGAATGAGATAGATAGATAGATAGATAGATCAGGAAGCGAATGAGATAGATAGATAGATAGATAGATAGATAGATAGATAGATAGATAGATAGATAGATAGATAGATAGATAGATAGATAGATAGATAGATAGATAGATAGAAAGTAAGTACGGAAAGAAAGAAAGAAAAAAGAAAGAAAGAAAAAAGAAAGAAAGAAAACGGAAGGTATGAAAGAAAGTAGGAAGCAAGGAAAATAGGAAGAAAGCAAAAACGAAAGCAACTCAGCCAGAAAGAAAGATTAGAAAAATAATTTTGAAGAATATCGACAAAACGTGTAAAAAAAAGAAATTGTTACTGTGAAAGGAAAATATTACAAGTATGAGGATATTATCTAAGTAAGTAAAATAGATAGATAGATAGATAGATAGATAGATAGATAGATAGATAGATAGATAGAAGGATATTAATAGCAGGTAATATACTGAAGGAAAGATACATATTCACTGAGCAGTAGGGACAGAGATGAGACGACTGAGATAGATAGATAGATAGATAGATAGATAGATAGATAGATAGATAGATAGATAGATAGATAGATAGAATTAATGGTGGAATGAAAAAAAGGAAACGAAAGAAAGAAAGAAGAAAGAAAGAAAAGGAAAGAAATATAAAAGAAAGGAAGAAAAAGAAAGAAAGAAATGAAGAAAGAAAAAAATGAAACAAAGAAAAGGGAGAAAGCCTAACAAAAAAGATAGAAATAAAAGTAAATACTTAGATAAATGTAAGATAGAGAGAAAGATTAATAAAAAATAAGTTTGAAGACGAAAAGCCGAATGGAAAAAAGAAGAAAAGTGTGTTTTATTTAGGTTATTATATAATTAAGGTCAAAGAAAGAAAGGAGACAAAAAAGAATGGAAGAAAGATAAAGAAAGAAAAAAAAGCTAGAAGGAAAGAAAGAAAAGAAAGCCAGGAAAAATAAAACGAAAGAAAGAGTGACAGAAAGAAAAGATTAAGAAAAATAAGTTTCAAAGTCAAACCGAACAAAGAACGAAAAAAAGTCAATGACTGAAAAAGATAATCATTATAAGTAAGAAAACGAAATTATTTACGTTCCACCACCGGAAGAGGTCATCAAAGTGCCATACCTGACTTGTCTACCTAAAACTGACATTTTGGCCCTCAGTGAATTTTAAATGGCAGAGAAAATGTTTTCCTGCCTGAGAGATTTGCATTCGGCCAACAGCATGAAGAAACCCTACCCTAACGGCAAAACAGCGTCGTGACGTAGTCGGGATGACAGGAACAGAGAATCAGAAGAGTGGGTTTGATTTTTTTTTTTTTCAAGATAACGTAGACAAAATCAGAAAATGTGACGAGATTTAAAACTCTCTCCATTAGAAGCGAAACAGATTTGGAAGAAATTAACAGAGCGGAAGAGAAGGAATAAAATATACAAAATAAGATTTAGGGAAGAAAAGGAGCAGAGAAAGAAAAAAAAAATGTGAGGAGTTTGCAGAAAGGACATTTAATAAGAAAACCAAATGAATAGCGAAAAAAATTTGAAGGTAAGGCCACAGAAAATAGAAGCATGAAGGAAGGATTTTATGAAAATGGGCCTGTTTGTTGTGCATAAAGCTAAATACAACAATATATTTTTTCCCTGTCGCAAAATTTCTTGTTTCATTTGGCGGTGGCACACTGTTCTTATTGCATAGATTTAGTTTACGGCGTGTAACAGCAAAATTGTCTAAATCGTTTTGGGGAGATTTAAAAAAAAAATAGATAAAAAAAGGAAAATACCTTTATTTCTAAACATTTACAAAATATTGTTTATAAATTTGGATCACTGAAAATTCATTATAAAATATAAAACCGGAATATGGCATAGGTGATGGGAGAATTTTTAGTCGCCAAAGCTCATATGGTTTTTTTATCGCATTATTGGACAGCTTCAAAAACAGCAGCAAGTAGGAAACCAATGTGAGCGCATTCTCCAAGGAGAATCTTGTCCAAAAAGAATAAAAGATATGTGTCTTATCGTGATGAAATTCTTAAAAATATAGTTAACGATCGTGCGGACCGACCAGATCTTTTGGACTATCTTAAGAGTCTTGCTCATAATGCTTCATTATAAATTATTCATATTAAATGGTTTTATTTTGATTATAAACCAAACCCAAAGAAATGATATCATTAGCTTTAATTACTACGAGGCAAAGTCACATGACGAGATATGGCATTCAGAATAATGTGTTACATCAAAATGCCGTATTCACCTGATTAAAAACATCAGCATTTAAAGAATCTGGCTTTAATCCTCTGCAACTTATGACTAAGGCTTAACTCATTTGGTCATGAGACACGCTATTGCAATCGCAATAACGGAGTAGAAAGAGAAAAGAAAGATTAAAGAAAATTAATTAAGATTAAAGAAATTAAAAGAAAGAAAGAAAGGAAAGTGTAGCGAGCCGTGTGTTTGTACACGTTGTGAGATGAACACGTGTATCTCCTGAAATAGGGTCCACAACAAATATGGCAGATTCGGAATGATCCCACATAAAGAAATGTAAAGCAATACACCAAGAAACGATATATATATATATATATATATATATATATATATATATATATATATATAATTAAGCAAATATATGGATATAGATCCGACAGTATGAAGAAAAATATATACGGAAAAAACAAAACAAAAATCCTTATATATGAATATGTCCTGAAGATGGTTTATTACACCGAAACGTCAGACGTTGACATATTAACATTAAAACAACATAATCGTATATAAGGATTTTGTTTTTTTTTTTCCGTATATATATATATATATATATATATATATATATATATATATATATATACAAACATTTATATGTGTTTACAAAAGACAAAGACATTAATATGTATGTGTTTGAAATTGATGTTTCAAAAGTATGTGTGAGTAAATGTTAATATTTGTACGTGTGTGTGTATGTCTGTGTATATGCGCGCGCGCGTGTGTGTTTGTGTGTGTGTGTAATGTTCATGCGTGTCCCACAAGTGGGAGGAACGCTTTCTTCTTCGAGAGTCTACATTGTCGTAGTGTCCGCTGGAAATGAAAAGTGAAAGAGATCAAGGCAGGGTTTCGTCAAGTATATATGGTGTTTGGAGAGCGTCCCCTAGGAGCAATTTCAAAATTAAGGAAGAGATAACTCCGAAAAAAGGGGAGAAAGAAAGAAAGAAAGAAAGAAAGAAAAGAAAAGAAAAGAAAAGAAAAGAAGAGAAAAGAAAAGAAGAGAAAAGAAAGCAGTAGAGAATGAACTGAAAAAATGCGGAGCCAATAGAGGTAGGTAAGAAGACAAAAAAAGAAAGAGAGTAGGGAATAGAATGAAGGAAGGATGGAAGGAAGAAAGACTGTTAGGAAGGAAGGACGTTAGAAAGGAAGTTAGAATAAAAGGCACGAAGAAATAGTAGAAGAAATAGTAGAAGTAAGGGCGGAAGGAGGAAAAAGAAAAAAAAGAGTAAGAAGGAATGAAGGTAGGATTGAAAGGAATGAAATGACGAGAAGTAAGAATGGAGGAAGAAAAAGAGAAAGGGAAGAAATAACGAACGAACTAAAAATAAAGATGGAGAGGAAGAGAATGTAAGGAAGAGAGGTAGGCAGTAAGAAAAGAGAAGGAAGGACGAAATGGGAAAAGGGAGGAAGAAAACGAAAGAAAGAAACAAAGGAAGGAAGCAACAAACGGACTAAAAGAAGGAAGAGGGATGGTACTGAAGACAAATTCAAGAAAGAAGAAAGACAAAAGAAATTAGAAAAAGAAAATGAGTAATAATGAAAATAGAAAGAAAAAGATTTTGAACATTCGTATCTTATTAAAATACCCCTGCTGACCGTTTTATGATATTCCTAAGTAAAATTGGAAGGCCAATAAAAATTCAGTGGCAGTAAGTCAGAGATCGACCATTCGCAGAGCGATTATCGGCGTTGTTCTCTGGCAAGGAGATTAAGTGCACGAGAATGAAGGCTGAAAGTGCCTGATCGTGTCAGAAACTCTCGCGTGATCTACAGCAAAGCCAGTGTGACGATAAAAAAGTGCTGCCAAGCCCAACTGATCATCCGGGTTCAAATGGGAAATCTCGATTGACGTCAGAAATAAGTGTGAATTGCTTCGCGTAATTCGTCAGTTTTCATTGTTTCTTTTTTTTCTTATTTTCCCTTTGTTTCAGTTCATCAATTTTCTTTCTTTCTTTAGTCAATCAGCTTTCTTTTCTTGTTTCTTTTTTTCTCAATATGTCTTTGTTTCTTTTCTTTTTTCAGCTCATCAGTTTTATTTGGTTTTTTTTATATTTTAATTCATTAATTTTCTTTCTTTCGATATTGCTTTCTCCCCGTTCGTCATTTTCTTTCTTTCTTTAGTCAATCAGTTTTCTTTCGTTGTTTCTTTTTGTCTTAAGACATCATTTTCTTTGTTTCCTCTTTTTTCTCAGCTCATCGATTTTCTATCTGTCTTTTTCTTTTTTTTATTTTCTCAGTTTTATTTGTTTTTCTTTTCACTATTTTTTTTTATAATTCGCCAGTGTTCCGTCTTTATCTTTTTTCTTCAATTATTTTGTTTTCTCTCGTAGATTATTTGTCTTTCAAATCGTTTGTTTTCATTCTTGTTTTCCTTCTTTTACTTTTTTTTTTACAGTTCATGATTTTTATTTCCTTTTTTATTATTCGTTTTTTGTTTTTTAGAGTCTTTCATTTTTTTTTAATTCATCCATTGTCTTTCTTTGCCTTTATTTCTTAACTTTTTTCAATCCGTAGGTTTTCTTTGAGTTTTTTTTTTTTTGCTGTTTTACTAGTATCATATGATAATATGATAAAAGCCACTAAGAGGCAAGGGGGGTGGGGATTTGTTGAGGATGAAAGAAAAGAGAATGAAAGCAACAGTGAAAACATTACTAAAAACCTGGCGTTTTTTGTTGGATGAACGTTCTGAGTCAATTTTAGACTGACTATTACAGAGTCATTATTTTTTTGGCATTTACATAATTCTGTAGACAGAAGAACATCTGAAAATCCGAAAGTATCAAGTCAAGAGAATACTAATGTTGGGGGATTTTACGTTTCGACTTTAAACTACAAAATATGTTTCGAAACATTGCGTTGTCGTAATAGAAAATTACCCCTTTTCGATTTGCCAATTTGAACCTAAGTCTCGTCAAACTGCGAAAGGCAGTTGAGATATCAGATTTAAACTCTTAGCAAAGCCTTCTGTCGAAATATTCGGTTCAGTATACATGATGGCAAGTAGGACATATTCGTCGACGTCGGAAGGTCGCCCGGACCCGTGTAGTTAATTGTTTAGCTTAAAACCAGCATTAGGAAATCTGCAAAATCAATTTTGGACCGGCTGAAGTGCTAGAGCGCAGTCCAAATAATGTTTTTCTTTTGTCTTAGTTCCGACGCTTACTCCTTTCCGGAATTCAAATACACAGCACGGCGGAAGTGCATCTTTTCTTCTTCCATCTTTAAGACATTCATTTGTGGACAGAACGTCAGCATTCAACAAAGTGTGGTTCGCAAGTAAACACAGCAAGTATTTCACTCTAGAACATAGAATAAATTGGCACTAAAACCTGTTCAGAGTCTGTTTCAAGTTGCTATCATTTTATATTAAAAAAATAATTGGATATGAACTTTTTCAATAATCTGATACAAACGCAAGCTTAGTCCCGACCAAAGCTTACCTATGGACCTAAGTATAAGCACCAATGTTGGTAAGTAGATTCAATAAGAAACCCAACTAATATTTGCTTATAGACTCAAGTATAAAACCGGACAACGTTCATCTATAGACGGAAATATAAACATAAACACTGTTTTATCTAGACGATAAAAACGATCAATATTTAACTTCAGACCTAAGTATAAACCTGGCCAATACTCACCTACGGACTTCAGTATAATAAAAAATCATTTCGACATTAAAGCGTTGACATGTCCAAAGATTCCTATACATAGCAACCAACTCCAGACAACAAGCTTGGAAAGGAATATATTTTTTTACGAGATTTAAAAGCAACTTGTTCGGTAATTTTATTTGAAAATTTTAGGGGACGAGACAAAGGCACGTTGAAATAAACTCCTGAATTATTTCCTGCAATCAGTATTTGCTGCTTCATGTGAGTCTGAATAAATGAAGCACAAAAGTTTATAGAACAGATAACATTAGACAGCAGTATGATAGAACAATACGGTGAAAAGAGCGAATTTGTCATGGGTTTAAACAAATATAGACTATATATTAAACTAATATATTTACACATTATTTCATTGTTTTGTTTACTTGGCGATAGAAGACTGAAAAGATATTGCTCGTTAGAAGTTGTTGTATTGTTTGTACCCAGTTCGTCTTTGAAAATTATAAATTGATTAGGAACTTACTTGAAGGGAAACTTTTTTTTGTGTATGCATAGTTTAAATTGTCTTACTTATCTTAGGCAAAGTTAATAGAGTTCATTCTTTTCATCGTGTTTTGAGGTGTGTCCAGACATACGATTGGCTTTCCACATTTTTGCCGCTGAATTCCGTCTGTTGTCTGGGGCAAGACTCGCGTCTTTTTATTACCTCGCGATAGATCAAAAGATCAGCCTTTTGATCTGCGCGGGAACGCTTCTGATTGGACTAAAAGCTGTTCCTTTAGGTTTCATTTTTCTTTTCTATATCTAAATTGGAAATAATGTATAAAACTTCATGTGTAGAAACGAATTCACTTTCAGTCTGTTTCTGGTTGCTGTGACGTCCACATCAGGCACGCCATTACCAAATTAGTTTGACAAAAGGCAATTATAGTGGAGAAAGAATTAAATACGAAGCGAATATGTAAGGAAATGTTATCGAAACGTTCTTAATACACACTGCTTCCTGGATGGAGACTGAGAAAATATCTGCAAGATAAATATGTATAAAGGAATCATGAAAAATGAGGGAGGGTGGGAGTTTCTTTTTGTGATGATTTCATTGGATAACAGTTTTTTAAAGGTAGATTCCTTTAGAACTATTTGGCGATCTGAAATTGAAATGTAAAAATTAAAACTGCTAACGGCTGGTTCTTTTTCTCAAAGATATAGAAGAGACTCGAGGCGACAGAGATGTGGTTCTACAGAAGGATGCTAAGGATATCATGGACCGAGCGTGTGAGCAACGATGAGTTCTTAGAGAGGTTGAAAACAAAGAGAAGGCTTATAATTAACATCAAGAAGGAGGGCCTGGAGTACCTGATACTCACGGATTGAATAGAGGTAAAGAGAGACAAAGCGGCGCAAGACATACATGGCGGGCTTGAGCAGGTGGATGACAGAACGTGGTCGGGAGAAAGAAGCAGAGGGAAGGAACTTGTTGAGAGCTGCAAGGGATAGAAGGAGGTGGAGAGCCATGATCGCCTACGTCCTGAAAGGACATGGCACATAAAAAGAAGAAAGACTGTTGATTGCTTCAAAAATATATACGTTTACATATTTTACGTATTCCGTGTATAGCGTATGCTTTCAAACATGATTTGTAATACTATATTTTTGTTTGGCGAAGTAACATTTAAGATAATAAATGGACATTATTAACTTTAGATATTTCATTATGTGCTTTATTCGTATTTTTCACATTTTTATTTTGTGTGGTTGGACGTGAATTTCAAAATCTTAAATATACATCAACTCGTTCTTAAAAATGATTGCTAGCGAGCAATACACGAAACAGGTTTACTTCCTCATGTAGAAAAAATATAAATTATACGTATAAATTTTTATACGTATAAATTTATTCGTATAGATTATACGTATAATCTTTTTTAACGTCTGTATAAATAAAAATTATAAAACAATTTTCGACTGACTATTATATATATAAGAAAAGGAAATAAAATATATTACTGCAACTAAACATAACCTATTCTACGCTTTTTTGTTTGTCGTTTGTAAATACTAGATGGCGTAGTACGTATGTGTTAATGGAATCTATTGGATATTTCTTTGTATTTAAATCATTTCACTCAAAAGCAAGGTGGGAATGCCACTAGTACGCAGTGGGTTACATCGAGTGAAAAGTAAAAATGAGAAGACTAAGTATAAGGAGGATTGAGGAAAGGACAACAGATGAACGGGATTCAAGAAGATAGAAGATAGCGATTGACGTTGCGTTAAGATTTTTGAAGATTGTAGTTTGTAAATAAACGGGAAAGGGTTCCACATGCGGTAAGTGAAAGAAAAGAAAATGTTGAAGTAGAAGAGGGGGTTGTGTCTAGCTATATCCCCGTTAAACGGGTGGAATTTGATGACAATCTAATAGCACGCTTAAATTCATGTTGTCGGGGCACCAGGAAAAATCATCATCATCTTGCGGCCTCAGCCGAGATTGAACTCACCAATACTTTGATTGGTGTAGTTCATAATCTTGTCAAATAGCTGAATTCTTGATGCTTCGCTAGGTCTATCAAGGGTGTTTTTATCGTGACACCAACACTAAATGGATTGCCAACCAAGGCTCAGAGAGACTCCATTCACCCTCCTCTAAGAGCAGGTTTGAATTCAGAGTTTTCCTTCTCCTAGACCAGTTGCCATCCAAGGCTATAGAACCCAGTCTGTCCTGCTATTTACCCATAGCTGGAGGGAGAAGAAAGAGGATTCACACCTTTCCCAAGGGTGTTAGCACGTAAGTGAATGTAATGGATTCGACTGGAATTTGAACTCGGCTCTCCGATTCCTCAATCCAAGCCGCTATCCATTACTCCAAAAATACTCGTCAGAGCAATTGCAACGAAAGTATGTGTAGACAAGACAGAGGGAAGCCACACCATGTCGGTGAGGAAGTGACTGAAGTCGAGACGCCTGCTCAGAATCGATTACAGTATAGATGGTTCTCTGGATTTTATCAAGAAACTCAAGTTGGATGGTAAGCTCTCCGGACGAGATATGGCAGCAGTATTCAATGCATGGACAAATGGTAGATTTATAAATGTGCAAGATAGGCTTGGACGAGAACGTTTTTGCATGGATGAAATATCATGGAGATATCGCTACGCGTACTTGTCACTTAATACTCCGGAAATTAATGGAAAATCTCGAGACACGAATTCAAAATTGAATTTCGAACGACACGTTAAATCCTATGTTTACATTAGTGACGTTTTCTACGAATTGCTTGTACTTGTTTGCTATATTGCTTCCAAGATAATTTGTTACCTCGAACTTGAAACCTTGTCATGCCAAGTTTTTCTTTCCACACTGTTCACATTCAAATTGACCTTCGTAATTGATGTGGACTCAAAGTCGGGACCACGGAAGGAAAACACGGAACACGGATTAGAGGTAAGAAAGATATATTAAACAAAAAGGTTACAAAGATAGTGTAAGTGTAAGCGGAGCTTACTATGTGCTAGTGTCCAATATTGGTAGTCGTACGCGGCTGATACTACGGTATTAGAACTCTCACTCTCTCTCTCTCTCTCTCTCTCTCTCTCTCTCTCTCTCTCTCTCTCTCTCTCTCTCCTAGAGTGTTATATCGCAGACTTTGGAAGAGTCCATGTTGTAGGTATGTTACGGTCTCACAACAATAATGAAATTCACAAATCCGAAACCAACGAAAACACATTCCATCTTAATCTCGCTTAATCTGGGAACTTTTCTTGAGTGTCTTGAATACTGTATTTTTTCCGCAGTTCTTCATCTCTTTCTTGAATTAATAAAGGGTGGATGCTGACTTTTCTTTTTCTAGTCACCATTGCAAAACGTAGTGGTAATCTGTCTATATTTCTGAGATGAGGTATTATGTACATTATTTACATTATTCGGACTATTATTGCAATTTTTGTTGTTATTATCGCTTTTCTCTGTGAGAAATACCCGGTTAAGGCAGTGGAGAACTTTCAGAGGGAAATTTACAGGAGATAACTGACATTCATTAAACATGGCACGTGGAACTAGAACAGTCTACCCCAGTGAGCGAAAGAAAGGGTTCAGTTCGACATTCCAACCACCTAACAAAGACCGGAGCGTACAACGGCCGAAACGTTGTAATAAATATGGCGACAAAGATGAGGACAATAGTCCGAATAATGTAAATAATGTAGTGGTAATCTCTGGCACGATTATCCATTTGCAAAGACAGAGGCAAAGCAGTAATTAATTTCTTCAAGCTGCATACCCGTCAAAAATCCAATATCTTTTAACCTTATATTGGTCTTAATTATGCGCGTCAAAATATCCTTTATGTTGGCAGGTTTTCTTTAGATAAACTGCATAACCTAATTAAATTAATGGCAAAATCTTTTCATTATGCAGTAAAACAGCTTTCATTATTAACGTAATTGCCAATCTAGTAGTATGCTTAAATTCACTGCCATGAAAATATTTATACAAGGTAATTGAAAAGTAACACCCTATTTTAGGTGTGATGGGCTCTCCCGTTGAAATATAACATTTACAAGACGGGAGTCCATCATGTATAAAATAGGGTGTTATTTTTCAACACCCTGTAGAACAGACAAAGGGAAGCTATGTCACGGAGGTGGGAAATCGAGTGTAGTGAAGATGCTAGGTCAGGACCAATAACATTACAGGCTTTTTCGATGTTGTCGAAATTCTCGAGATGTATGGCCCGACCAGATATGACAGCCATATTTAATACCCGAACGAATGCACTTTTCATAAGTGTGCAATATAGATTCTGACGAGAAACAGCTAAGTTTACCAGTAACTTCGATTAAATTCTCACCTGCTGAAATCTCTTTTTCTTGCTTCCCTGCAACCTACAATCTTTGAGAAATTAGATGCAGCGTAAGTCGCTATCTGCTGTTTTTCTGAATCCTTTTCTTTTATTGTCGATTTTTCTTAACATCTTAAGACACTGTTTAGTTTCCGGAAGGCATATTTCGCCATACCTACGTCACTTATGATTTCTCCATCCCATGATCCATCATTTATTACGAAACAACGCACTCCGTTAAATTTCACGGTCCGCTTCTTTCTGATGTTACCGTTCCCTAGGGTCTTTCTCTTGCTTAAAGTTATGCATTCTGTCTTCTTACAATTACTAGTTAGTCCTTACTTTTTGCTTTTCTTTACCCCTCCTGTAGGCGTTTGTGAAGTTTTTCCAATGAATGCCCCTGTAATTGTTTCGCGCTGTTTAAAGAAGTAACGCGCCAAACTACTAGGTAATTGACGATGGCAAGCCCTCAGGTTACTGTCGCTGTTCATCTACATTCAATGGATAAGGTCCAGAAACACGTCGCGTGTGTGCCACACGCACTGACTGACAGAAACAACTTCCAGCGCGATTTCATTTCTGCCAGTTTACTCACCTCACGTGGAACTGATTCTCATCAAACTGAAAAGGTCCAGACTTCCTCTCCTCGAAACGAGGTAACAATTTCTCTGCCATTGTTTCGGTAATGATGCTCTCTTTATACACAGCACAAACGTCTCGGACAGCTCTGGCAGTTTTGTGACCTTGCTTAATAGCAAAGATGAGATGACGAACATAGAATTCCAGCTGAAAAGAGTGTCTAATCTGAAATAAAATTTCGATCACGTTAGAGAACTGTTTCACGTGATGACCAGAGTTACTAAGAAGCCAAAAAAACGCTGAGTAACTTTATTCTTCGAGATCATTCGCAGAACATCAGAAAAAAAACAAAAAAAAAAACGAACGAATATACGGAAGGGCCTAATTATTGTGAGTAAAAAATACCTACAAATACGAATTTGAATCAATAGATCTGTATCCTGACATGTAAGTGAAATTGAATCGGAAATCTTTATTGTATAATGTTCAATCTGTTCGATTTATATTCTCCGTTGAATTGAGTGTATTGACAAGGAAGGAGATGATCTCTCTATGAGTTCGCTTGAAGCTTAGTTTTTTTTCTCTTTGTCCCTACGTTATTCCAGTAGAAAAAAAATTACTCACCCTGTACTTCTAATTTAACAGTAAGAATATCCATATATTTATAATTTACAATTAAAAATCGTAAAATAAACATAATATTAGCTTCTGAAAATAAGTGAAGTAAGTAAATAATTTTAAAAAATACTAATAAATTTATTTGCGACAGTGTTCGTAATAACAATTGTTGTCGTCTGTCATTTACCATTACTTCAGATTACCTAAGGGAAACAGAAAATAAATTATCGGATTATCTAAACAAATATAAATAATATGTATTTGTATTTTGTTAAATTGAACCGAATTATTTAAGCAAAGAAAAAATAGTAAGTTTTCTGAATTATTATTATTAATAAAAAATATTCATTATTTTGAATTATTATTAATAAAACATTCATCATTCTGAACTATTATTCAAAAAAAAAAAAAAAACATTCCAGGCTGATTTTTAATTTTAAGTTTTAATTGGATCTAGTTGAAAAAGATTTAGATTAATTTTTCGTGGAAGAAAGAATTATTTCAGTAAGTGAAACTCATCTGGTATTTAGTACGCAAATATTCGATTGAATTAATTTATATTAATAATAAAATCATCAAGAGAATTTCTATTTAAAGTTAATTTCATCTGCCTGTAGGACGCGCACAGTCAGTTATGTGCCATGCGTGATACACACTTAAGCGATCATCTATCTTTCGATACATGACTGACGAGGAAGATTTTTTCCCGCAGTAGGTTGCCATTTCTTTCTGCGGTAGACCAGTTGCCATCCAATGCTATAGAACCCGTTCTGTCCTACTATTTGCCAATAGTCAGTCAGTTATGTGCCATGCGTGATACACGCTTAGGCGATCATGTATCTTTCGATACATGAGTGACAAGGCAGATTTTTTCCTGCAGTAGGCTGCAATTTCTTTCTGCGGTAGACCAGTTGCCATCCAAGGCTACAGAACATGGGCAGACCTTCTATTTACCCATAGCTGGGAGGGTAGAAGAAGAGGATTCATACCTTTTCCCAAGAGTATTAGCACGTAAGTGAATGTAATTTCTATTGGAATTCGAACTCGGCTCTCCTTAATCGGAGAGCCGAGTTCGAATTCCAGTCGAATCCATTGCATTCACTTACATCCTTTTACCCTTGGGACAGGTATGAATACTCTTCTAACCTGCCCCAGCTATGGGTAAAAAGCAGGACAGACCGGGTTCTATAACCTTGGATGATAACTGGCCTACCGCTGAAAGAAATAGCAACCTACTGCGGGAAAAAAAGATCTACCGCGTCAGTCATATATCGAAAGATACATGATCGCTTAAGTGTGAAATAAAACGACGTTTTCATCGTCACCGATATTCTTACCGAAGAATAAAAGAATTGTTTTGATTACCGAAAAAAAGTTAGAGAATCTATTTTATAAATATGGATAAGGTATTTGAAAAGTGAACACTTAAAATAAATTACATCAAAAGAAATAGAAACAGAACTAGTAGTACACATTCTGCCAAACAGGAAATCCAGGTCTGACTAAACTGTGACTGCTAAAATGAATCAATATTAACTTGAATAGAATTTTCTTAATGGTTGATAAACTCCAAGAATCAAAGGGTTGTAGGAAAGATAAAAATGCAATATTTACCATCGGTTTCACAAAGACACCACAGCATAATAGGAATTTGGTTAATTTGGCGTCAATTCGGTAAAACTATTTTCTTCTGAAAAAAAAAAAAATCGTATAAAAAGAAGTGGACGTAAGAGTCACAATTTATCCCCTTTTCAGAATAAAAATCTTTTGAACAAGACTAAAAGCGATACAATTAAGCACCTATTTTGAAACATATCACGTTGTCCATATATGGAATGTAGTTTTTCCTTTGCCGGGTTTTCCAATAACTATCAAAACCTATTGGCATAAGTGACAGATTTCGTGCATTTGGACAATATTTACGCTCATCTATTGCACGTGATTCATATCTAGTTGAAACACCGGTTCTTGTACGATCATCGAAGTTGAGCAACGTCGGTCCTGATCAATACCTAGATGGGTGACGGCTTGGGATTAATTGGTGCTATCGGAATTGGAGAGCCGTGGTATTTACCTATTGTAATGACAAAGGTAAGCACGTGTAGGCTTTAAGAAAGCTTTATTCAACTGAGAATACAACGATTTGTGTATAGTGTCCTTGTATAGTCCCAGTAAATAGAAATATCTCTCAAAGAGGAGAGTAACGAAACAAGGGGAGACCTCTCTTGTTTATTCCTAACACTTATTTCGCAAAACGGACCAAAACAACCAAGTCAGTACCTAGATAGGTGACCGCTTGGGAAAGGTATAACACCACTTGTTCTCCCCCCAGCTATAGGTTAATTAGTAAGACATGTATCAATAAATAATACTATTTTAGGTTTTAAATAAACTGCGAAATGGTACTGTTGAAGCTTAAATAAGCATGGAATAATACAACACAAAATGTACGTTAACAAAATGTATTGAAACAAAGAATAGGTACACAATATTTACAGTTAGTTTGGTATATTCTTGGGAAGACTGTTCCTGCATAATGGGTTGACTAAATCGCAGTCGGGCAGAGTCTCTGGATTCAATTTCTTAATCTC